CCCCCAGACTGAGTCCAGCACCCTCCCCAGACTGGAGCCCTGCACCCCCCCCCAAACTCAGCCCTACACTCCCCCCAGACTCAGCCCTACACCCTCCCCCAGACTGAATCCTGCACCCCCCTGTTCTCAGCCCTACACCCCCCCAAAATCAGCCCTACACCCTCCCCAGACTCAGCCCTGCACCCTCCCCAAACTAAGCCCTGCACCCCCCCCCACCGAGCCCCACCCCCCCCCCCCACCTCGCACCCGCTCCCTCCCCCCCGTTTGCCGCCCCGACAGCCCCAAACGGAGCCGACGCCCATCCGGTCTCCTGTGGACCCCCAAAATCAGCCCTGCACCCCCCAAACCTCATCCCTGTACTCCCCTAACCCTCACCTCCTCGTCGCTCTCCACCTTGGGGTTGCTGGCCGTGCGCTTCAGGTTGCTGCTCAGGCTGATGGAGGCCGTGGCGTCCGACTTGGACCTCTGGTGAGTCCTCTTGGAGGGCGACAACCCCGTCGCCGTCCCATCCTGCGCCACCACCCCTTGCCCCGAGGGCAGGGGCATCTCCCTGCCCCTCCTCTGCTGCCCCCCTTGCCCCGAGGAGGGCTTGAGCTCGTCGGAGAGGATGAGTCGGCGCAGTTTGGTGCCGCGGGAGTGGCGCTGGGTGGAGATGTGCATGTCTGAGGACAGGGCCCCCAGCAGCAGCGCGCAGCGCAGCGAGAAGTCGACGCTCTGGCGGCAGCGGTGGACGATGTAGGGCTTGACGGCGTCGCCCACGTCCTCGTCCATGTGGATGTACATGTTGAGCAGCTGCGGGAGGTAGAAGTCCACGTCCTCGTGGCGGAAGCAGAAGAGCCGGTTGCCGATGTAGGCCTGCACGCCGGGCTCCTTGGAGTTGTACAGGTAGGAGATGGCCATGGAGATGTCGAAGAGCTTCGACTCGAAGAGCCGCAGGAGCCACGACTGCTTGGCCGGGTTGTTCTTCTGCCGCCGCCGCGATGACTTGGCCGCGTCGGCCGCCGCCGCCGCCGCGCCTTCCTCGCCCTCCTCCTCCTCCTCGCGCTCGTCCAGGCAGCGGATCTCGCAGCCCTCCCCGTTGGGGACGGCCCCGCGGAGCAGCTTCACCTTCTGCAGCACCTCCTGGCAGGCCTTCTGGGCCACCTCGGGGTCGATGAGGGCCAGCTCGCCCACGCCCTCGCTGATGACGCTCAGGGAGGTCCCCGTCCCCACCCCGGGGTTGGTGGTGTTGCCTCCTTGGGGCGCCGGATCCGGGCCCCGGCGGGGAGCGGCGGGATTGGGATCCGAGTCGCCCATGGCGGCGGCGGCGGAGGGGAGGGACGGCTCAGAGCTGCGGGGGAAAACGGGGGAGAACCGGGGTGAAGGCGTGGAGCAGGGAATGGGATCCGGGTTGGGATGGGCCTGAAGGGAAGGGGAGGGTTGGTGGGACCCCCTGGAAGAGCCTTTGGAGAAGGGATGATGTCGAGGAGCAGGGAATGGGATCCATGTTGGGATGGACCCAAAGGGAAGGGGAGGTTTGGTGGGACCTCCTTTGGAGAAGGGATGACATTGTGGAGCAGGGATTGGAATCTGTGCTGGGATGGGCCCAAACGGAAGGGGAGGTTTGGTGGGAAGAGCCTTTGGAGAAGGGATGAAGTTGTGTTGGGATGGGCCTGAAGGGGAGGGGAGGTTTGGTGGGAAGAGCCTTTGGAGAAGGGATGAAGTCGAG